AGTAAATACTCTAATAAAAGAAAATTAGACTGAGTAACCATGCCTTAAATTTTTTGCATGAACATTGGCTGCTCTGCCTCTCGCTCTTTCTTTTACTAGCTCACTTTTTCAGCCTCTTTGAGATATGGAACGAGTGACTTCATCCTGCACCATCCTTAAAGCCTCAGATATTCCAAAGCGATATAAGGTTGCAATTTCTAGAAGCTACCAACTTCAATGGATCTATTCTTGGCCATCAGCTGCACATCGCAACGCCACTTTCATGAAGCGCACCAACTGTTATACTGACTACAACCATTTACATTTCATATCTTATAAATTATCAACCCTGCTGAGTCATTTACTACAGTGGATATGTAGAATTCTGGTCTACTATGATATTAGTACTGCTTTAATAATAGACCTAATCCTAAAATTGTGTATTTGTCATGATATAACTGCCTAATCTATTAGACCTTGCATGGAAGTCACATCATTGTCTACACCAACTCGTTGCATCGTAACAATCACCAATGCATGATGTAGAACAAGGTTAGGCTAGAGAAGGAACAATATATTTAGTATGAATAAAAGATATAAGGTAACATTCAGAGGGACCACGCCTGCATGGCCGAGCCATGCCATCCGATCAACTCGAATCAATTCGATTTATTGTTCCCGCCTTCCCAATCGCTGTGTTTTTCTGTGTTAAACGTTGAATATCTATTTTCCGTGTAGCCACCTGTTAAGCTTTGAAGACTGTGTGGTTAGAGCTCAATGCCAACGCATATATACATATTCGCTCATAAAAAAGCAGTCAGGGTTGATAAACAATTAATTAACAGGGTCAGAACGTGACTATAGAGGAATGAATTGGCCTGTCCAGAAGCTAGAATAAGATATATGTGCTTAACATGGCGGCCGACACTACAAACTCTTATTGGGTTTTAGTCACTGAACCTCTCGTAGTTCATTCTAATGTTATTCTAGACGCACATAATTCGTCTGTGTTCCAGACCTTTGTTTTGTGCCGTTGATGGATCATAGGAACTTTATACTCAATAAGCAACACAGTTCACCCATTCATGAGCCTCATTATACTCTTTATATGAGAAGAGTTAACAGGTGGTTAATAACCAACAATACTACCCATCATGGGCTTATGTTTTCAGTAATATAGCTCGTCTTGATCTTCGCAACTACGGCATTTATCATCGATTCTTTGCTACAATATAGTCCATCATACCCTTACTTCGTCCTCACGATTGTCATGTTGGTTGACAACTAGCCTGTAATTCCCGTAACACTTAGTCGATCAATTGAACTAGAATCAATCAAATAGCAATCTGAGTCATTATTCATTTATACACCTGTCACCCTATCTTGCATGGATACTGTGAACTGAAACCAAGACCTGGTTTCTTTAAGTTCGGACTTACTTAACAAGTAAAAACAAGACTGGCACCTGTGATTTGACACTTAGCATCCAGGTCATAATATTCTCCTGCCCAATGAAGTTTATTGGTGGCCTTGATGATGGACGGAATAATAACACATTTCAGCAGTTTTAAAATATCTGAAAACCTTGATTTAGTACCTTCATCGGCGAGACTCTAATTTTGGGACGAGCCAATCAGAAGCGTTTGAGCAATTTCAATTATTAACCAATCAGAAGACAGTTAGTATAAAGTAAAAATATATTACAAGAAAGTAATGAATTACAGTGGACATTCTTCTTTTACATAATTTAAAAAGTTGTTAGGGTTTGATAAAGGTTCAGAGGTTCTGAATTCATAATGCATACGGTATAAAAACTCGTCCATATGGTTAGGAATTAGGGTTGTAGCCTCTCAATAAACACCTCTGCTCTAAAATCCGCTGTAAACCGATCGTATGTTAGCATCACGTCTTGAACTCAGCTCCGTGACCTTGAGATTGCTCAGACGCTTCTTTTGGGCTCGTCCCTAAATTGGAATCTCGCCACCCTAACCCTAAACCCTAAACCCTAACCCTATGGACGAGTTTCTATACCGTATGCATTATGAATTCAGAACCTCTGAATCTTTATCAAACCTTAACAAGTTTTTAAATCATGTAAAAGAAGAATATCCACTGTAATTCATTACTTTCTTATAATATATTTTCACTTTATACTGTCTTCGGATTGACTAACAATTGTCAAGGTCATTCAAGATTCGTTCAAAGGTCGTCCCTAAATTAGAGTCTCGCCCCTTCATCATCCGTAGTCTCACTTAGCTTTATCCGTTCTCTTAGGTGTTTAGGTGACTCTTTGACTACGACTTGTAAGACAGACACTGAGGTCGTTCATTACCATTTATTCAACGACGTTGGGATACTCACTCATACAAGCAAACTGTTTGGAAACAAACTGATGCCCTCTAAGTCACTTTCAGCATGTCGACTATAGCTTTTACACCCTAAAATGACCTACGAACCACTACTGAACACCTATCAAACCTTTACTTGATCATATCTTATGTTTTTGCATAACCACAGTTTCGAATGACGATCTACTCCATTCCAATTGGTTTCAAGTAGCCTTTTTCAACGCGTCTGTAGAGATGAGTAAAATTTTTATTCTAATCATCTGTTGGGAATACTAAGTGAACCTTTGTGATGGAGTAATTATGCTAGTCCAGTATGATTGTTCAGATGTCACTAGGGCATGATGATTTTGAGGTGTCAAAGGATCAGAGAAATTACACGTAGCTGTAGCCAAACCTTGCATGAAGCCAAAGGAATGCATGTATCCCTTAGAGATCACCATATTTTGGCTGATGACCAACCATAAGGATTAAAGGTCAATTTCTGAAGCGACTCATTAGTTTTTAAAATATGAAATTGATTGGATCTGGCATCTCAAATAAACCAATTCTGACGAAGTTTTGTGTGTTGTTTGGGACTACTAGAGAAGCGTGATGAGAAAGATAAGTCTGATAGTACTATTCGACAATAATCCGGGCCAAATCTTCAAAGTGATGTAGAATGGCTTAAAATGATGTTGAAACACCACTATAACCTATAATCACTATAAATTAAAAGAACGGATGATGGAGGTAGCGTTTATTTGAACAGCAGCAGTAGCGTGTGTACATACAAATAATTATGTCTGTTTTTTGGATGGATACAAGGAAACAATATATATTGGATAAAAATTTGGTTACATATAAAGTTTCACAGATAAAGAAAAAAAATTGGTCACTATTTTCTCATTATGAAACCCATTCAATAAACATGTCAATTAAGATGTGAATTGAATGGTGGAGAAGATTTGTAGCTCAGGTGGATGATTTTGATGGAGTTTTGTTCTCTGAGCTGGATGGTTTGGTCGTGGAGCTTTCATCATCAAAAAGCACCAACGGCACACAGCACCACAACCCAAGTCAAGCACAAAAATCAGTAAAAGGATCACCCTACCGTACATACAAGGAATATTAGAAACTGCAACGAGACTGCTGAAAACCTTCGGGATAGGTGTGGCATACAAACCAACAAAATCACTACAATCAATCTTATGCAAACCAAAAGATGAAATAACAAAGGAGAACAAATCAAACATTATCTACAAAATAAATTGTACCAACTGCGACAAACACTACATCGGACAAAGCGGACGTCCCCTCCACCTACGCCTACATGAACATCAGTTAGCAGTCAAACGCCATGATATCTCTTCACTTATTTCAATACACGTGGATAACTACGGACACTCATTCGATTGGGAAAATGTAGAAATCTTAGACGGAGGAAACTCCAAAAACACCAGAGAATTTCTAGAAGCCTGGCACTCAGGTCAATCAGCAATCAACAAACATATTGAAATCAATCCAATCTATCAACCAATCAGGAAAATCATGCATATATATAAGAACAAAAATCAAAACAATGGGAGACACAACCAAAACAAAGAAGTGAACAATGATAAATTTAAGGTCAACAAGAACCAATCAACATCGAGGTGCACAGAACAAGCTGTGAAACACATAAGGAGAAAATCGAACACTTCACTTCTATCTGAAGTTTGTGCTGATGATGTCGTTCAGAAGGACGATGAAAGCTCCACGACCAAACCATCCAGCTCAGAGAACAAAACTCCATCAAAATGTGAATTGAATGCTTACTTTACCGTGCACATATTGACAGCTTGACATACAACTTCGTGCAAATAAAATCTGTAAGAGATACCAAAACAGAGTTTGGACTCAGTTCCTTTGGACGAAAGTGTGTTGTTCTAATCACAGGCAGTTGTCTCTAGCTTTTTAAATATATTTTCAACTAGCATTTCTCTTGGCGACAGATAAACTTGTCTAGATAGCGTGATTTGTAGGCTTCCTTTATATGAATTGTGCCGACCTCATGGTACAAGCTTATGCACCTATAACATGGTTTATCAGTGTAAAACATCATTTGACATAAAGATATCGCAAGTATACGGAGTTTGACAACGCCTTAAACAGTTACACATTTATAATAGAAGTATACCAACTAAGTAAAATCAGTAGCCAGAAGCGAAGAGGTTCTAAGATATATTTGGGAGGCTATTGATATGTCGAAGGAACGCTTGATGTAAGCTGACTGATAGTTGAAAGGACTGAGTAGCATGGTATACCCACTTGTGATCTGGTACGGATGAGTGACCAGGCGCATTCAACTAGGCGACTCCACCAAAACTTATGCCGTCAGCATCAAATGTCGACGATTTACGGTGACATTTATTTTGGGCGTTTATTTACCACTACAGACAAACTAAAAAAACAGGTGCTCACTTCTTGATTGAAAGTAGTGATTACGAACACCCAGTCATAAATTTTGCTCATTAAAGTCAGAAGGCTGACTACCGCTGTAGTTGTTGGACCTTGAAAGAACTCTAAAATTTAGTTTGTTCACATAATAATTAGCATGTTGCCTTTCTTATGTGTTTATGCAGTCACTTTTTTCCCGTAAAACACTGAACAGTGTTTGTTTTACCAATGAAATAAGCTCCCAGTCCGAGTTTGTGCGAGAAATGAACTCCTACTCTTAGGCTGCGGTGAGGATGTAAGTCGTCGTGTTGTGCACAGATTTCACATTGAATAATAGTCTTCAGTGTTTAGTTAAGTCTGTAACGTCTGACGTCACTTTTTTTTTTTACACGGAACGACTGTGAAACTTCATTTTCAAGCCCCATTTTGAGTTTACTTTCAGTTTTGAGATTATCATATCAAAATGACTTGCAGCAATATTTCAAAACATTTGGCTAATACCCTGAATTTAACAGAAAGCTACACAAGTTTAGTCTTTGCTCGGGTGTCATGAATTTTACTCAGTCATGAGTTATATAGTTTATAAAAACTGGATTACTTTTCAGACTAAGTTACGACCAATTTTTTAAAGCTTTAATTCAAATATATATGCTAAAAATCTGACTTTTGGGTTCTCCAGTTTGGTAGGCATCCTACGCTCGTTTGTGTACGGTCACCGTGATTGTGTTTCTGTTGATGTTACGGCTTATAATCGCTCTTAAGACTGTGTCACTTTTATATTTCACGTAAGTTAGATTAGTTGTTAGTAGGGAAAGTGATGTGTTGAAGCACTATATTTTTTTCACGAGTGGTATTTCTCGGGATTCCGTTCCTTATGTATTTTTTTGTTTAGGCCTGTATTCTAGTCTATGAGTCCGATTTCTTGTGTACATGCACCAACAATTTATGACTTAACTCCTAGTTAGAGTCAAAATCAGTGTCGATCTTAAGTTGTGGGTGATTTTAGTCAAGACAGAGAGTCAGATTTTGCCACATTTTAATTCTGGGTATTTGGAAACTTATGTCACGAGCTGGAATTTATCCTCCACTGGTATTAGCCGCTTTGTTAAGAAAACAGTTAGATAACCCAGTGATGAGCTGTAGCTCCTAACTAAGGCGGTTAATCTGTTTATTTTGTAAATTACATGCGTAAACCGAACGATCTTTTAATTGATTTCAACTGCTGCTTGCTTAATACGTTCAAATTCATCTGTTAACTGGACACGATATACATTTTATTGTTATTTTTGATATCGGTTTAACCAGTGGTTTGTGAATAAATTATCCTTCGTCTACAGTTAACATAACTATTTCATTCCCTTGTTATAATTAGCAATTAGCAGTTATTCCAGAGCCATAGCAAACCATATGTACTATTAGCAATATCATTATCAAGTTACAAGATGCTTATTATAATAAATAGGTTTCAAAATTTAGATTCGGAATCAAGCATGATCCATAAACGTACGTGTGTTTACTGACTATTCTATTTTGTTTTTCTTGTGGATTTAACTCAGAACTCTATAACTTCTGGCCCGATAATTTCATCTCTGTGCTTATAAGGTATGAGAACTTGAACCCATGTACGTTGTGGTGTGCTACTTATATTGACATAAGTAGTATATGATGTTGATGTTAGTCGTGAACAGAAGGTCTGGCAGCAGGGAGACAAGAGGATCGAACAGTAAATAATGAAAACAAAATGCAATTTGTATGAAAGTGCAAGAGCAATGAAGTCTGAACCATTTTGAGACAATCGACGGACATTTTGCAAATTAAGCATTTACTCTGTGATTGTTAGATTTTATTAAGTTCTGTAATTTTGTTTTAAATACATTCGATTGTCCCCACTGGTGTTCTTGTTCACTACACGTAAGTACAGGGTTCTACGTTATGACTAATGGTAACATGCGTTATTTGTTTTAGGTTAATTGATCTTAATTTTAACAGTTTAATTTTTTCACGTGTAGGTACCCAGTGTATTTTTGTGAAGTATTTTTTCAATCTAGTCAAAAGCAAGGTAGTTTAACGCTTGTGTTGAATAGTTAGGTTTAAAAAGCTAAATACCACCAAAACTTCAGGGATTTATGTTAAGGTCAACTAACATTCTTTGATTAACGTAGACATCTCACCGAAATCATGACCCCACACACGGAAATGAAACCTAGGACCTTCGTTCTCGAGTGAGAACATTTGACCTTTAAACTGCTGACCTGGGAACCATCAGTGTTGTCTAACATCAATCAATACACGATAGATATTACAGAGGCAAGTAGATGTTACACAGTGTGTACAGTTGTGTGTTCAATCTGTTTGATACAGTGATAAAAAGTTAGGTAGAGTTTATAACCTCCCGTCTTAAAAGTTATTTCTCGGACTGAGGAGATAGCCTACAGTTTTTGGTCGCTATGCACTTTATGGATTAGTAAAATATCGTGGTCTAACAAAGACGAACCTGTTTTAATTCTTTACACCTAGATCTTAGCAGTATGTTTGCTGTAAAATTTGATAAACAACGTATGTAACTGGTAAGTCAGCAACTAAAACTTTTGATTTCTAGTTTGCTACTCACATGCAAGATATCCACCTATTCAATTAGTTAGTCATTCAGTTTTTGAAATGTTAATCATGCCTAGTATTACCGTCGGTTCCTTATTGATGTTAAAATCTGTCTCTATCTCTTTGGTCAAATGTAAGCTGATGAAAGAAACAAAGAGATTCAACTGACCATGAATTGTGTAAAGTTTCAGACTTAGAATAGATTTATTTCGAAGTATTTCATAGTGGTAGTCGAAAAGTTTTGACTCTTACTTTAAGATGAAATTATTTTCATGTATCTGAATTCTTGTTAGGTAGTCTGATGCTTTCATTTATTGGCAATGGTTGATTATTTGACCGGAAACATTTCATGATGGAACTAGTTGGAGCGCATTCTCCTGTTACTCACATGTTACTTTTCAATTTTCAGCATACAGTTGGAGTTGTATGGTGTATTAGAAGATGAGTTTATTTGTACAAATCCAGTTTAATTGAAAAGCAAACTACAATAAATGTTATACATAATTCTAAACTGTTTTCTACATAATTTTTGTCAAATAAACAGCAGTTGGTCAATCCCAATGCCTGTCAAGACAGTATCATGAAACATGCCCTCAAGTTCCCATCCAGCCTACTATTCTAATCCAAATAGTGTATTACCCCAAGAATCCATATCGATGCAAACATATTACTACAAGAACAGTGTCCCCGTATCCGGTTTGGGTCCAAACCCATCAACAGCGACTCCCCGTGCATCAGCGCTCCCTCAACAAACATCCCTAACTACAAATAATCATTTAGGTGTTCCTGGATCCGCCCGTTTATCATCCCAGTCACCTCATAATGGTCATCCATATGGGAATTTTCGAAATAGTCAGTCAAATGGTCTTCCTAATAACCAAGATGTAATGTCGGTTTCAATGCACGCCCCATCAAATTATTATTATTGGCCTTCTGGGACTACACCTGGACCTAACACTACGCCATACAACTACAGTGATGTTTCGTCACATACATATGCAACCCCTACACCAGTATCCAAACCAAACAATACAGCTGGTTATCTTAACCCTAATAAAAATGGTCTGACTAACAAAAATAATCCATCCAATCGGGTAACTCAGCAGTTAAAGAATACGACATCTAATTCAAGTGGCAGGCCGTTATGGAAAGATCGACCACATGTTGGGAAATATAGTTTAATCCAAACTATCGGTAAGGGAAACTTTGCAAAGGTCAAACTTGCCCAGCATTTGACAACCGGAATGAAGGTTAGTTCTTATATTTTCATTCGTTAATGACAGTAATGAGACTTTTAGATAAAAGGCATTATTATTGTTAATATGACAGAGTGTGATTTTTCTTTTAACGAATGTTCCTAGTTTTACCATTTCATCTGATTTTCTTTTATCATTTGCCTTAGTCACCAAAGATGATTAGTTATATGTATGAAAAATGTGCTGCATAGAGAGCACTTAACTGTTTTCAAAGTAATTTTTGTCCCCCATCATTTTGTGAATAAGTTATTTAATGTAATACTCATGAAATTTGGTTATTTGCTCATTTCCCTTTCTGTCTGTTCTGTTTGTGAGCGGCTGCTTCACTGTAATGCGTCGTTGAAGTAAATTTTCACTAACTTTTAGTCAATTAGTTTCATCTCCATTTAAGTTATTCAAATACTAATCGCATTTTATACCATCTGACTTGGGGTATAGTGATTTGTTTCCAAGCAAACTGCTTGGAATTAATTGTGGTTTTCAGATCAAAATAAATTTATAATATCAAATTTGTTTGCTAATTTAAAACCTTTAGATTATTTTCTATTTACATCTTGTTATTTTGTCTGTGAGATTGGGTCAACTACCTGTGCAGCTTATAATTTTATGTAGTCGATTGATTTGATTCGTTTTACCACCTCTTACGCGAGGGACAATTGTCGTGAGTGTGGCTAATTTCTATAGTACTTTTTAGTGTTGATAGAACCAAATTATGCGTTAGAATTCTCCGATATCAGACGCATTCACATAAGATTCTGTCAGTCTTACGTACAGTCCGGAAGCTAACATACTTCCTACCGCACTAAAATCAAATTTAAGACAATCTGTGGTGTACGCTACTTATGTCTACAGATATAAGTAGTATATAACACCAGTCAGAAGTTGAAACCCTGACAGTAGAATGCTAAGAAGATCAAGTTGGATGGAAAACAGGAACGGAAATAGAAAGGAATTGTGACTCAGAAAAATCGTACAGTGTGAAGGAAAAATGATGGGATGTTGCAAATAAAGTATTCCCTCTATGGTTCTCATATTTCGCCAAGAGATTTTGTAATTTTGTACTAAACTACATTTGGTTGTCACCACCTGTGTTTCTGTTCATCACAATCGTACGCTTTATTGCGTCACCAAGTTAAATTTACAGGGAAACGTCCAACTGTTCAGTATCTATAGGACTTTTGAGCCGTTAGCAATGTCGATTTATTATCTCAGTGGTCAGGTTATTTTCTGATTATCAAAAATATGTCACTATGCATTTCTGCATCTTGGACTACTTTTGATCATTAGATAACATTATATGACACGGTTAATAGATATTAGTTTTTTAATACACTCATACGCTAAACAAAGATCTCAACACTGAATATGTCTTCAGACAAATGCTAATGAAATAATTCATCTTTGTGTTGTGTTCTAACTATGGGACACAGTACAGATAATTTTCTGCTTACATGAACGTCGTTTTAAAAATTAACTGATTTCCCACTGTTATTCAGTTAGTCAAAAGCTAACCACTCACAGACTGAAAACTTTGTCCATTTCTGAACTTCGGAAGAGTTAACGAATGGTATCTAGATGTATTAAATATCCGTGTTACTGTTTACATCTGTATTCAAAAGTAGTCCACTTGATAATAACTGGACGTAATCTCATCTGACTGGTCTCAATCACTGATTGTGCCAGTCTACAAAAAAAGACAAAAGTCTTCTTGTGACAATCACAGAGGAATCAGTTTGACTAATATAGTGTCTAAAATGTTAGCTTCAATAATACTTCGATGCCTAACTAAAGCTCGTGAAGAGCAGATTATAGGAAATCAGGCTGGTTTTCGACCTGTACGTGGTTGTATAGACCTGATATTCACACTACGTCAGATCCTAGAAAATAGACACACATTCAGATGGCCCACAATCGTAGTATTTCTCGACCTTAAATCGGCATTCGTTTCTGTTGATCGTGAGGTTCTATGGCAGTGTTTGTTACTGAAAGAAGTACATTAACCTTACAAAGGCTGTCTACTCGAAAACAACTAGTCGAGTGAGAGCTTATGGCGGACTGTCATCAGAATTGAATACCTCAAGTGTTGTTCGTCATAGCTGTCCACTCTCTCCATTCTTGTTTAACTTTGTCGTATACGTGCTTTTAGAGATAACACTTTCGTCTCCTAAATTTCCAGGAGTTGAATTTCTACCAGGAGGTTCACTTGTTGACTTAGAATATGCTGATGACATAGTTCTATTTGGTGAAGACGCTGACAAAATGCAGAGTCTTCTGACCACTATGAGCAACAATGTAAGCATGTTCGGGATGCGATTCTCCTCCTCGAAATGCAAAATATTACTTCAGGATTGGGTGGCATCGTCACCCGAACTAATGATTGGGAGTGAAGTAGTTGAGCGTGTCGACCCCTTCACTTATCTTTGGAGTCTCATCAGCCCTTGTGGTCTGGTGTGTGACGAAATCTCAGCACGGACACAAAAGGCTCGACTAGCTTTTGCCTACTTTATTGCAGTGAAACATGGCCGGTAAGAGTAGAGGACATTCGTAGGTTACTAGTATTTGATCATAGGTGTCTTCGAAATATTGCTCGTATATCCTGGGACTATCGAGTAAGTAACGCAGTTGTTAGGAAACGGGTACTAGGTAAGGATGGCAAATCAATTGATGAAGTAGTGAAAGTTTATCAGTTGAGATGGCTGGGACACGTGTTACATATGCCCAACGACCGACTGCCCCGACGTGCTATGTTTTGTGGTGTATGAGTAGGTTGGAAGAAAGCTAGGGGAGGCCAGACCAAAACATGGCTTAAGTCCATGAAGTCACTGACAAGTGGATTGAGCCATGTACATGGGTGTAGACTACCTGGTTGGGGACCGCGAGATGATAGCAACCGATGGTTAGAGACCTTGAATGGCATGGCTCAAAATCGTTTGGAATGGCGCAGGTGCGTACACTCTTTGTGTTCTTCCAAATTCTAATTTCCTGATTCCTCCTTGTCTCTTTTTTCTCTTTCCAAATTTATTTCACTGGATTATACTGCTTGAATAACATCTTCAAACCCTGATCTTTCCGATTACTGCTTATACTTTTACTACCTCTACCACTGTGGGATTTGAATCTTCAAGTGCATGTCTGTGCTAATGTGGTGTGGCAACTCGAACTGATATATGCACGTATGAAGTTCCACGTTGTTACTGACTGACTGATAATTCATATTGGTGTTTCCAAAGTTTCCGTAAAAAATGTATGCATAATCAAAAATATGGCGTAAAACCAAGCTCAAGCTTGAGTTGAGAGGTAATTAATGTGATTTTTCTACTATTACTGATTTTGAATCATGTCATTTCAAGTTTCCGTTATCCCACTAATTGAATCTACTAACACAGCTTGAACCAATAGTCAATGACTTTGTAGTTTAATGTTATATATTTAACTGCCTGCCCCTAGATTTTTTTTCACAACCTACTCCAATGCTAACCAGCTTCTGTTGCAAAAAGGAAACGTGTATTAGTTTTGACGAAATGAAACTGTTTTCTATGATATGTTGCTATCCTTACCTGGTTTACTCAATTATTCTGCTGTTTTCTTTTTTCCTCATTATCATGATCCTCGTCTACAAAGGTTGCAGTCAAGGTAATCGACAAGACATTATTGAATCACTCAAGTCTACAGAAGGTAGGTAATTTTTCGATTGAGTTGTTCATGTTATTTTATGGAAAAGAGAAGGTAATAAGTTAACAGCAGGTTTTATTATCAGCTGAGCGGATTTTAAAGCTAAGAACTATTGAACAGTTGTTTTGTGTTGGGAAATTTCTTCATCCTATCTATTGGTATTGAAATTGTAATCACCATGACACTGATAATCATGGTTCTTGATTATGACTTAAACTTATTTGTGCTGTTATATAACTTATTTCATTGATGTTTATAATGTTGTTATACCGAACAGTATCAGGTTAATATGGAATAGTTGGCCAGTACTCTTAGGTTTCCAGTGATCTGTTGATGTTACTCTATTGCGGAGACTACCACTAAACTTACTGAAGATCACATATGTGTATAACTGTTCTATAAATGCTTCCATAACCACACTCTTCAGCCTATTTTCGAAACATCCTACACAGTAGTGGTTGATTTATAATTACTTTTGAGTATTATTGTCTTTTCAGGAATGACTACCATTTTTTCATGGTAATCAACATGGATTATCTGTCTAAGTTATCTTTCTTCATTATTGTGTTAAATAGATATTATGTTAGCGCTGTTTCGCAAGTTCTTATCAATCCTATTCTAGACGGTTCTAACTTCATTTCATAGATGGCAAGGGCTTCTGCTGTTTTGTTCACTCACTGTGAATAATGGTAGAACTGATTTGATTCTCTTGAATTGACTTAACAAAAACTTTCTAATTTCTTGGAGTTGTATAATTCCAGTAAAATGTTTGATTATGAGTTTCCACTCGGTTTTTGTTTATATTTTTCCAATAATTGACAAGAATATCGATTATTTAAGTAAATACATTCATTCTGTTTCATCGTACCCGTTCAATGTAGTTATCTTTTTTCTTCGCCATACTCAAGAAGTTTATTCTCATCTGTTATTCAGGAATATCTATAATATTGGGTAAACCTATATATATATATATATATATAGTATGTCATTAGGATAAATAAAAATCTTATATATCCACTTGTTTTGGTGTTCTTTAGTGTTTTCATCAAGCTAATTTTAACTGTCAGTAATGGATTAAAAATTTCTTAGCTTTCTTTTGATCCCTATTCATGGTATAAATATGGTTTTAATAAAACTAGTAATATCATGCAAAATTTAAATAAATATAGCTATAGACAACAGCACATTTACATTGTCTTATTACTAGTGATGTTGATCTGCTATTCATATCTATCCCTTTGCAATACCGATCAACATGTTAGCATTCCACATGATTGCATTAATTCATGGTAGTTTGATTGCACAGGTGTAGGTAATTTGCACACATATAACAAACATGTTTAATTGAAATGATTTCAAAATAAGGTTTCTCTCTATTTTATTGTCGGGAGGTTTTCAAAAATATTGGGAGATTTTCATCGTGTGTAAAATATGGTTTCTACTGAAAGTTTCAGTTTTTTTATAGTGATGTATTTTTTTCTGTCCTTTTGATTTTAGTTTTATGAAAGTAACTAATTTGTGAAGTCAATAAATTCTAATCGTTACAGAATTAAGTTATTCGGAATTATTCCTAAAATGAATATTAGACTGACTTTTTCTTATTCGTTTGCCAATTAGATACTGTATTTACAAAAGTTCCTTTTTCAAATTTTCCTTATCACATTACAAAACTTGAAAAAATACAGTTTGTCTTAATGTACAATAATATTTAACCTTTAATGATCGTGTTCATCAATAATATAACCGGCTCTCTTTTATTTGTTTTGTTTTACCGAATTGAATCTATAACGTTCCGTTCCTGTTATGAATGCTTACTGTTAGAAATGCTATTTCATCCCGTTAAGAGCATAAATCCACTACAGGCGAAAAATCATCATAAAGACATGAATATGTTTGCTCAGGATGTGTATAATTTTCATTAATATCTGAAACCTTTAACTCGAATTTTCACTTGGTTACATTTATATTCCACACTGGTCATTGAAAAACAAAACGTTTATTGCTAAATTACAATTGTTTAGGCTAGAATTAGGTCCCATAGTTTCATAATTTATCGATAGATATTAACCATCAAGTTCATTTTGAAAAAGTAGTTTACCTAGACAATGGGACGTCTGGTTGTGGAAATACAAATCAATAATTATGGCAAACATTGTTTAGCCATAGAACTGTTCTTCATCTAGGGTTCGACATATTTTTCGCTTATCATTTGTTTGATATCGATTCACATTAAGAAAATTTTTACTTTTGGATTGCGGAATAGATTAATTTATGATTTCTAAGTAAAAATAGTCTTAATAATAATAGCGTAAACAAATAAATTTAATGTTTTGGAGCTGTGCAGAAACCGTTTATATAATATAAGCATTTTACTCACTATACTTTTGCAACATAAAACTAATTATCAATTACACTTTTATTGACCAAACTACTATTTTAAAAAAAGTTTAGTAAAGAAAAGGGACGTAACAGTGACCACGCCTTAAGAAAAAATATTTATATCAGTTCTTGTCACACTTGGGCCATGTACTTGTCTTTTTTTAGTTTTGTCAATTTAAATAGTGCTTACCTGTCGCCTAGACTACTACTCGCTTATGACGTTTCATTTAAAATGGTAGAGAGCTATTGTTTTGCTTTATATTCCGTGATATTGAGGAAGAAACAGATTGCAGGCTGTTTTTGTTAAATCATATTTTCAATTAATAAAATACTTTAGTGTTATTTTTTCAATATTCATAATATGTTTAAATATATCTATCGTGTTTGACTTATGGCTAGTGAAGTGATTAAATTGATTTCAATTCATTTTTGTATTGTTTGTTTGAATCTTCGCATTGATGTTTAGGACTACAATTGATCAGTCTCTTATTGGCATACGTGCATCCTGTGCGGATTGCCTTGATATTGCCCTAAGTCATAAGCATTGTAAGTAATGCTTGTACTGGAGTGAATATCAGCTCTGGGATGCAGGTACACCCGGCTAACAAGTCCTAAATAGGACGAAACTCGCGCCACCATCCATCTTGGCTTGAATTGATTTCAGTTTTCGAAAATCATTTTTGTGTTAACCAAGTATTTTAATAGGCCCCAAACGCACTTTCTATTTACTTCATCAGAAAAAAATCAGCAGATGAAAAATACTTGGCTAGGCAAATGCTCTTAGGAGACGTTGGAGTTAATATATGTGATACATACAAGTTAAATATATTCCGAACTCTTTAGCTCTTAGGGTTTTATTTGGTTACTCAGTACTAACAAGTATAGACTTTAACGAAGCTTCTGTTGATAGCTTATAAACTTTTAATGACTGTAGTCAGTATCTTGGTTTTTATGAATGATGCTGATGAATTAATAAATGGAGCATTTGGGTGCATACTCCTCTACTTTGCTACCAAGCACGTTAAGTATTGGACGGAGTTTTATACTCTGAACTGGATGGTTTGGTTATGGAGCTTTCATTATTCTTCTGAACATCATTAGCACAAACTTCAGGTAAAAGTAAAGTGTTCGAATTTTTCCCCATATGACTCACAGCTTGTCCTGTCGACCTCGATTTTAACTGGTTATTGTTTTGAGTGTATCACATTTGATTCGACTCTTGGTCCAATATTTGTCCATAATTTTTCTGATTGGTCAATAGATTAGATCGATTTCAATGTGCTTGTTGATTGCTGATTGACCTGAGTGCCAAGCTTCTGGTGCTTTTGGCTTTCCCTCTATCCAAAATCTGAACATTTTTCCAGTTGAATGTGTATCTATGGTTGTCCCCATGCATTGATATAAGCAAAGATATGTCATGACTTTTGAGCGCTAATTGATGTTCATGCAGGTTAAGAAGAAGGGAGTGTCCACTTGGTCCGATATAGCGTTTTCCGCAATTTGAACAGTTTACTTTGTAGATGTTTGGTTTTTCTTCTTTCGTCATTTCGTTCTTTGGTTTGCATAGGATTGATTGAAGTGGTTTTGCCGGTTTGTTTGATACACCTATTCCAAACGGCTTCAATAATCTCGTAATTTCTGATATGTCTTCCATATAGGGTAAGATGATCCATTTGTTGGTTTCGGTGTTTGATTTTGTTTCTGCTGATGAGTTGGGTTGATATTTCTTGGTGAGGTTGCGTAGGTAGCCGTTCTTTTGAAGGATAGTCAGTAGATATATTTTCTTCATTGTCCCACCCTGCAACTTTTACCTGAAGTTTGTGCTGATGATGTTGTTCAGAAGAATAATGAAAATTCCACGACCGAACCATCCAGCTCAGGGAACAAAACTCCACCTAAATCATGCACCTGCGCTACAAACCTACTACACGTTAAGTATTATTTGTTAGTGTTATCCACTTTTGTCAATTTCGTTTAGTTGTTGGTGGCAACTACATGTTCACATAATTTTTCGAATGTCGATCTCCGTTTAGAGATAAATTTATGATCCTCACAGATGAGTGTCCACTTCCATTTGTTGTTTACTGACTACTGTTAGATGATAATCATTACTTTTGTTTAGTAGTTTGGCACTTAAAAAATGAACAAAATTTCAAACCTTGTTTATATTTCATTGAATTACTCTATTTTAAACTACTGGTTTATAATCAGAACTATCTCGTATATGGTGTTCTGTAGTAAGTAGCACGATGTAGGTTTTATACTCATTAGTTTCCGGATAATTTCTATTTTAGTTGTTTGTTTTGTTTTCAAAAAGCGAAAGGTCAGTGTTTGTGTGATGTTGACTGACACTCGTCTGACAAAAACTGACTAAACTGTTTGTGTTTATCAAGAAGAATCGCTTGCAAATTATGATTTTTATATAATCCTACGTATTAGTTGACAAAATTTTGCTTCAATTTCTTGTGTCTTAATTCATCATAATTTTGGGCTTCTTTTTTGTTTACTTCCCTGTTAGTTGTCACAGTAATAGTTTTTCATCATTCACTTTGAATGAGCAGATTTCATGTAAACTTATCTTCATCCTGTAAAATATAGTTTGTAGGGTAACTAGTTGTTTCTCGTCATCTCCATTTTCGATGGGTATTCAGATGCTGCTGGAATAAAACATGTCACTTACTAATGTACAGCTAATTCATGTCTTAATACATGAATGGTTTTTCTGATTGATAATAAATATAGGGTAAATGACTAATTCCAGTGACCTTTGTGTATGTATTGTGGCAAAGACACCATTATGAAGTATATTGATCTTTGAAATAAGACTACCTTAAACGCAAATATAAAGCTGTGTCTTAAATGCTTATGTATTAAACTGTCGAATATCTGAGCTGTTGAATCTTTGTTCTTGCTCTTGTCAAGAATATTTTTAGGGTAGCAATCTTTTACTCTCAATTTTTTTGTGAATTTTCACATATTTATCTCAAACTTTAGTTAAAATACACAGTTATGACGTCACAAACTTAGCTGATTGTTTAGTACATATATATCTGCATATTTAAAATATATGGGTTTTCAATTCTTTTGTGAGTTATACACATCCAAACCGTGTTGCATCTTATCTCAACATTTGATACTAGTAGCTTGCGGACAAATAAGGTGCAAATGCAGTTATTTGTCTTGGAGTCTCCTTTTAAATATAAGATGATACTTCATAAGCGATCTGGATCGATACCTAATCTAATTATGTAAAGGGAAGTAATTGAGTTCATCTACCTTTCAAGCTAACTTAGGAACCTTATCAATAATAATAACAGACAGAACTTTGGTAGAAATGAGAAGACCTCGTTTGAATTTTGCTGCCTTACACTACGTATGTTGTGGATAAGGTGTCCTCATGCCTTTCAAGGGGTGGGTATACTTTGCGAAATTTCTCTGTGTTAGCGGAACATAGACTGGGTTAAAGCAAGCTCAATGCACAATTGCTTTGGTGCACGCTGATTGGCTAATTCTTATCCAATCAGCACTAGTCGATAGTTGGAGAATACTCTAGAATCTTCTCAGGTAAAAACTATAAATATACTGACGTTTTTCCCTATTGTGCTTCTGACTTGATTCTTACTTCCATCTAACCTTGTTATTTGGAATATAATCTCTTTCCTGTTCAACCGTGTTCTGATTTGGGGACTTGTCGAGTGAATCGGTGTCCGAGAATACTAAGCAGTAGGAATAGCTGGGTCATTACCGTAAGAAAAGAGATTTATAACACTCTGTGTTACCTTATGACTGTATAGCATGACCTCTAGAAATAGAATACAGGGGTCGATTTCTAGTGTATGACCTCAGATGTCCTTGAAGGATTGTTCACTTATGTTAAAATTGCCGACTGAGTAATTTTAACATTAGCGTTAGAATACTAGACAACGATGGTATAAGTCTTAAACCCTATCATTTCATACTTCTCAATCATTTTCTTTTCAACGATATTTTACACGTTTAGTTTCCATTTAAACTACAACAGCTATTTCGACCTCTTTTTCGTTTCATGTTCTTGGTTTCTACTCTGTGCCATTATTCTGTGGCAAATCAGGCAGATATATACTTAAGTTTATGTTTTTGATAACTAAGTGGATGGCTAACCATTATTAAATTCTGTTCGCTTGTTTCTTTTATACAACATCTAATTCACCCTCTTCTTGTTGAAATTTTCCACCCTGGAGATCCTTCATTTTCACCACAATCCATGATGCTTTCTCGATATTACTCCATTGGTTGTTTAATATGCTATTTTTCTGACTATTTTCAAGGATATTGTAAATTTATGTTTATACACAGCAGTTGCTTTCTTTGTCAGTATTCTTTGGTGCCTCAAATAAATTCTGTAGTGGAAGCTTGACTTCAATGTTAGCCGATAGTTAAGGAAGGGAATGAAGAGTTTTTTATGTCCTTTGATCAAGGAAGTTGTAGTTAAAATTAATTCACTTTTATTATCAAACAAGTTTTGTAGATCATATTAGATAAATTTAAAGTGAACAGAAGGGAAATACTAGTTTGAGTTTTTTCAAACATTTCTGTTACTGCTGGATTTTTTTATACTGCATAAAGTAGGTAAGCACTATAACACAGGTGTCAATTTAATTTGGAATGGGGATAATCTTTCTCATAAGTCAGTGCTATTTATTCCAAAACTTCACACCAATTTAAAGCAGTTTCTTATCTTTATTTTTTGTGTTACTGCTTATATTATTTATTATCTAGTATTGAATGTTAATTTATAATGTTGGTTTTTAAGCTTTTTATCCCCTTTTCAGCTTGTTTACCTGTCAGAAAATAAGGCGCGATAACTTTAACCTTAATTCTACTAGTATTTTTTGCGTACTCACTGGTATTTGAGATAGTGCTCAAGTTTTATTCTTCAGTAATATTTCTCATCACTCTATTCACATATAAGTTAGATGGTGTTTGGGGGTAGTCGACAGGAAAACCTTGACCCGGGTTTCGTGCTACTTGGCACTCATGACATTGATCACCACCCAGTGATCAATTAATTGTGACTTTTAGCGCATATTCTTCTCTCCTTTAGAAATATATTGTGAATCTCATATTGGTGTACCACATCTTTTCCTGATTTGTTTTTTATCTCTATGAAAACTCTAATTATTATTTTAACTCGCTCTAGTTGACTGCTTTTTATGATCCTAAATTGTTCTAGCTGTTAATCCTTTAATTTTCTCAAAATGTTATTCGACTTAAACGTTTCTTACCTCTGACTAGTTTTTCCCACTTGATATAAATACTTATATATTCATTTTATGTTCTTGGCCTTCTTGGTGATTCACTAATTCCTTCTTAGGTTTTTTCTTTTAATTTTATACGGAACTTATTGTGTTTCTGGCAGTCTTTATTTATTGGTAGTAACAAATGTAGTTGTTATGTACTACTTACATTTGTTGCTTCAAACCAATTCCTTAGATCTTGAAAATAAATGTATGGTATGGATTGCAAACTGAAGTTAGTTGTAGTTGGTATTGGAACTGTTAGATTTTTTATTTGTGTGTCCATTGACTAAAACATCGATATTTTCAGTTAGAATAACTTTATATTTTAATAGCTAAATTACGAGAATATTTTTTTATTTATTGGTTATTTTTCACAGCTTTTTCGTGAAGTTCGTGTTCTAAAAAGCTTGAATCATCCGAATATAAGTAAGTTATAAACTTTATTTTGAAAATGTTTGGTTTAATTAATTTAATTTAATGTAAAATTAAGAAACTAAGTATTGGTTCGTGTAGATAAATGATATCTACTAACCTGCTGCTGCCTTAACTAAGCTGGAAGTTGTGCCAGGAGACCCAGTAGTACATGATTGTTGAGCGTTTCCCATTATTTAGTATAATGTTGAGTTAGTTTGTCATCCCTAGTTTTGTTTTTTTATTTTATGACTCGTTTTTTCTTTAGTTATTACCTGATAATGATGTCTTCTATAATTCCTGTGGTTTTCTCATTAAGATACAATTAATATTTGCGAATTATTTTTGTAGGCCTATAAATTATGGGGTCTATATTGTATTATCCATGATCTAATGAGAAGTAATTTGTACGTAAATTTATAGAATATAATAATTGTAAATCACAAAATCCAGTAACAAGAATAATCAGTTCTTTACTTGACGATTTGGATTATAGTTTGCTCCTCATAGAGAATAAATTGAAGCAAATTGTTTGTTGATTTTCGTTATCATTGATTTTCCTACAGTTGATCTTAGAAAATAAATTGCATGCATCATAATCTGAACTACATTCTGTTTCTGTACTGTGATTTTTTATAGAATGAACTTAAAAGATTCCTCAATTATTTGTCGTTTGCAAGATGGTTTATTCTTTTACAATATATTCAATTAACACATTCTATTCTTCACTTATATATATATATATACCTATTTTCTTCCTGACTTTTTTTACGTGCCAATTAATTTTTATTTGCACGAATGTACTAATTAACTGTTGCATGTGAGATTTAAAAATTTCCCATCGGTGGAAAAATGTATTAGGTCATGTGATAATATATTGTATTCAAGTTTTATAACACTGTCCTTATCTATTTATTATCCTTATTTTTCATCGTGGAGACGGTTAATTAATAGATATAACTTAAATTTCGTCTTGATATTTAGCTTCGTGTTTTTGTAATGACAACTTGTAAATATTGATTCAGCCTGATGAAAGCAAAAAAATTCTTGGATAAATAAACTCTAATTTGTGCTTATGATAATCACAATAATCTTAGTTATTCGAACTTTTTAACTGTTTCACGTTCAAATTATAGTTTTTGAGTTGGATGTGGCTCATGTTCTGTCTTCTAGTATCGGTCGCTTTGAAATTCCGTTAAACTATGTTTAACAATTTTTGACAAAATTGTACCATGCCACTGTATTTCTGTTGCATTTCGTTTGTCTTAGCACTTATATGCTTTTAATGTAGTTAATCTTTATTGGTCTGATTTCGTATGCCAAAATGTGAAGTTTTGTAGGTACTTCTTTGATTTGTGCATAAGAAATCGGTAGCATTTCCAACGTTTTAATAAGGAAATGGGCAATACTATAGGATACCAGTGACCGTAAAAGTAACATTGCAGTTACAGTTATTAACCTGTCAGATTGAAGGTTATATAACTGGTTTATTTATTACAGAAATGTAACACCAATATAAAAATCAAATCATTTTCTCTTTCAGTATGGGTCGACTTGTACTATGCCCTGAATCACACCTGACTTGTAATTATCGTTTCAGATACAGTATACTGGTGTTCATCGTAATTTGGTTTCCACATCATGTCGTATTCACTGTATGGTTACTCGATAGGTATGTTTATCAGTTTTAAGCCTCTTGAGAAAGAAATATCGGCAAATATCACCTAGCTCTTAATAGGGTACAGTCTTGCTATCATGACGTTTTAAATTTCGTTCGGAAATCGAACCGTCACTACCTTGAATTCGATTGACTTATTAATATGGTATAGTTTTCTGAAATAACATTTTTTTTCAAATTACACCAAATTAAGAGTTGCATTAAAAAGCTTTTTTTAATTATATTTTTACAAACAGTTGTCTGTGTTGGTATTTCAATGACAATCTATTAAGTACGCTAAACTTAGTGAAGTCAAAATGTTTTTACTTATCCTACATATATCGTTTTGCAGTTCTTAGTTTCTACATTAAATAGTCCGTTTCTTGAAACTTCGATTACTATGACTTGTTTTTAGATCATAAATTTTCTCGACTATGTTTCATTATCTCTACCGTACTTGTAGGTCAAGTTCTCTAGTGTTCTACAACTGATTAATTGTTTCCACTAACTACGCTATTGTGCTAGTAAAAATTCAGTGTGACAGAGTTCCAACCAGTAATCTGATACTGAGTTTTTGATCAGTTTATTTCATGTATCGTAACTCAAATAAAATCGAATCAATAATAAATGTAGACGTTTACGACAACTCATCTGGTTCCCTTTCTCTACGAGTCGAAACTTGTTAAAAACTAATACAGATTATAGTGATAATCCATAAACCTACTTTTGTCATGTCATTATGGAACAAATCACATATGAAGTACGGTCTTATCATAAATTTAGTTCCTTCCTGATTCTTACTGGTCATTCGTATCATACGTATGGATTTTACTACAGAACTTGTCGTGGATTTATACACTAACTGAATTGTCAAATGTTCATTTGATGGTGTTTCCCAGGAGCTGATTGTCATAGTAGTAATTATTATTGTGAATTATTGTAGTTTCTATCTGTAAAGTACTTCATTTGGATTTAGAAACGCATTTGGTGAATAGATTAGCTTAGGGAGTAAGATAAAGCGGTAGCTTATATGTATATTTATTTGGTAAATAAAGAAGGAACGAATTGAGCGAAGAAATTTCTTTCCAATTAGTTTTTCATCATGGCTCTACACTAATATGTATACGTTTTACAATAATAATATAATACTCATCGAGTGGATACGTTACGTAATAATTACATAATGACATTTAAATTAACATTGATTAATTGGAAGAAAGAGGATTATTAATATTCAAAGTGATCAAGAAGTTGCTAAGTTGCGTAATGTAAGAAACAAAGAAGGAACAGAATTTTAACGGATGGTCAATAGGATGGTAGTTACGTAAGAATCAAGAGATGAATGTTGAGAAGTTATTAAGTTCAAAAGCAACAGAAATAAAATTACAAAAGTTAAAAAATGGAAGAAGTATGAAAAATAGTTCTTTTGAAGGAAATCTTAAACTGATGGCCAGGGCAGGGAAAGTGGTTGTACGAATCTCTTTTGAATGCAAAGGTCAGGTTTGTGAACATGGATTACGATGGCTTCCGCAATGTGCAAGAGGCGCACTCGTAAACGATGTGGCAAATTAGATGGGATATTGTAGATAACCTTAAAAGCTTTATTCAATTCGACTTGATGACCTGTGTCAACCAGGTGAGAGAGAATAGAACTTTTGATCACTTTTACCTGTCCTTTGTTTAACCACGACGGATGATGTTCAGTAATGCGATGACGGACTTGCCGAATTTTATTTGGTAAAAGTGCGACATTGAAATTCAAAGTTACGCTACTAAAGTCGTGACAGTATAATATTTTTGATGAATTCAGTTTTTTTAATCTAATTGTCAAAATCAATTAGTTGCAAGGTATTATTTTCAAGGCGAACATGATATTTACATTGGTCAAACAAATAAATGACCTTATAAGGTAGTTGATGTATGTTGTAAAAATATGCGTAGTTTTCAAATCGATAGTTCACATAGGATACATTGATACAGAACATTTCATATCTATCTATCTGTACGCTAAAATTTCCTTAATACGCACAATATTAATCATTTTTCTGCCCACGATTATTCTTATTCACCTACCCACTCATTATAACCGATTGTTTATTATCACCTTGTGAACAGCTGTATAGTTAATTTTGTTTGAAAGTATAATTAAAAAAAGCAAAGTTCCTTTCTATTTGTTTTCCTTCCCTTCACTAAAAGAAAAAAGATTTAAAGTGACATTTTCCTAACTGTTGACATGCCATTAATTTACTTGCCATTATTTATCGGTTTTCGGGCTTTGAATCTTTCGCTTCCTCGTCTTCATCCCCTGACTGATACATACACTTTTTTTGCTAATGCTGACCTCATTGTCCTTATTTGTTCTCAATTCAGTTAATTATTTAACATTTCATTATCAAGCCCCCCTTATTAACCTAGTTTTATTTCATTGTTAGCGATGTTTGATTTCTCGTTTTTTCCAGTAGGAAAACTCAAAAGAATCGACTGAATATATATATATATATATATATATATATATATATATAGTCCCTTTTTTCTTGGCTACGTTGAGATATTCTTTTGCTTCGTTTCTGTAGTTTGGGTGGTGATATTTTTGTCTGTTTGTAACCTTTTTTATGCGTAATTATTCTCTGTTCGAGTTACCTATGAACTTTTACTCAAAAATTATGTGTTCGATTAGTTTATTACTAGTGGATTAAAAGTTACTGCGCTTGATGTTCAACCGTTGTCATAAGTTCAGATCTCTCTCCTTCTGCTCCTGTTTGGACATCTGGATAGTACCATTAACCCTCGAATAAAAAATAACAAGTCTGGTTCAGACCCAGTTACGTGCACATATGCAAACAAATATTTGTGTTTATTCACGTTTAGGCATGTCAACGTGCATCGCTGTTAACTACTTCTTTTATGTACTTTGCTTAGCAACGCAATTCTCAATAACAATCCTATTTCGAACACAAGAATTTACGCAAAAATATTTTTCAGTCAAAATTAAACTATACCCTTAGTGGCTTTTGACCTAGGCCGCGACAATTGGAGGGATAAAACAGAAGTTACCAATTCAGCCAAATATAATATGGGAAAAAATATGTAAATATTTATTTAATTCTTAGGATGTTCTTGAAAATCAGCAATCTGAATTACTCTTTTCAATAGAGTTGAACTCAGCTTCTCCCGTGCCACTAAAAATGTGGAGTCGTAATCGAAAATCTAACTTTTTTCGATTTGTGTCGACTTTTTAGGAAATAGTGTGATTTCCAGTTAAACTTGTTGACGTAACGGCAATCGGTATACCTAATGACCCTGAATTTCGATTCAACCATCACTAGGTTTTAAGGAAATTAAAATGCTCTGAGTAAAA